TGGAATGAGTGCCAGAAGCAGTGGTGGAAGTGGGTACAAATTTCAACATTTAAAAGACATCGAGATAATTATATGAATAGGAAAGATTTAGAAGGATATGGGCTAAATGCAGGCAAATGGGACTGGATCGGTTTAGAATATCTGGTTAGAGTCATCGAGTCATAGAGTCCTACAGCATGGAGACAGGCCCTTCGGCCTAAACTGGTCTGTGCTGACCAACGTGTCCATCCACGTTATCCTCTTTTCCCTGCACTTGGCCCATATTCTTCTAAACCTTTCCTATCCTTGTATTCGTCCAAATGCCTTTTAAATGTTGTTAATGTATCTACCTCAACCACTTCTGCTGCCAGCTCATTCCATATATGTACCACCGTCTATGTGAAGAAATTGTCTCTCAGGTTCCCATGTATTCTTTCCCCTCTTACCTCAAACAGATGCCCTCTAGACCTGGATTCCCCAATCCTGGGAAAAAGACTGAGTGCATTCATCCTATCGATGCCTCTCATGATCATATACACTTCTATAAGATACCCGTCAGACTCCTACCCTCCAAGGAAAACCTCTCCCTCTAACTCAGTCCCTTGAGTCCTGGTAAGATTCTTGTAAATTTCTCCTGCGCTTTTTCCAGTTTAATAATATCCATCCTATAGATCCTTTTTTTGCCTTTAATATACTTAAAGAATCTCGCTGGATTCACCCTAATCTTCTCAGCCAAAGCTATCTTGTGCCCCCTTTTCACCCTCCTGCTTTCCTTCTTCAGTAAACTCCTGTACCCCCTATATACCCCCAGAAACTCCCTTGATGCCAGCTGCCTGTACCTGAGCCATGCCTCCTTGTTTTTTCTGGTCAAAGCCCTCAATAACTCTTTTCATCCAGGGTTCCCGACTCCTGCCAACCTTGCCCTTCACCTTCCCAGGAACATATAGACCTTGAACTCCAGCTATCACACTTTAAAATGCCTCCCATTTGCGAGACGTCCGATCAAGGGTAGGGCTGATCAAGGATTGTAAAGGAGATTTGTGCATGGAGCCTAAAGAGATAGGAGAGGTCCTTAATGAATACTTTTCCTTGGTATTCACAACTGAGAGGGACCTAGTTGTTGAGGAGGACAGTGTAAAACAGGCTGGTAGGCTATAGGAAGTCGGTGTTAGTAAGGAAGATGTGGTAGGAATTTTGAGGAAGTTGAAGATAGGTAAGTCCCCCGGGGCTGATGGGATTTATCCAAGGATTCTATGGGAAGCGAGGGAAGAGATCACAAGGCCTTTGACGATGATCTTTTGGTCCTCACCGTCCATGGGTATAGTGCCGGAAGATTGGAGAGAGGCAAACGTCATTCCCTTGTTCAAAAAAGGGAATAAGGATAACCCCGGAAATTACAGGCCAGTTAGCCTTACGTCAGTGGTGGGCAAATTATTGGAAAGGGCTCTGAGAGATAGGATTTATGATCACTTAGAAAGGTACAGTTTGATTCGTGATAGTCAGCATGGATTTATGAGGGGTAGATCATGCCTCACAAACCTTATTGAATTCTTTGAAGAGGTGACCAAACAGATGGATGAAGGTAGAGCAGTGGATGTGGTATACATGGATTTAAGTAAGGCGTTTGATAAGGTTCCCCATGGTAGGCTCATGCAGAAGGTAAGGAGGTATGGGATAGAGGGAGATGTGGCAGATTAGATTCATAATTGGCTGACCCTTAGAAGACAAAGGGTGGTAGTGGACGGAAAATATTCAACGTGGTGCTTAGTTACGAGTGGTGTACCACAAGGATCTGTCCTGGGTCCTCTTCTATTTGTGATTTTTGTAAATGATTTGGATGAAGGAGTGGAAGGATGGACTAGCAAGTTCGTGGATGATACGAAGGTGGGTCGCATTGTGGACAGTGCAGAGGGCTGTTCTAGGTTACAAAGGGACATTGATAGGATGCAGAGCTGGGCTGAGAAATGGCAGATAGATTTTAACCCTGAAAAGTGTGAGGTGATTCATTTTGGAAGGAAAAACTTGAAAGCAGAATACAGGGTTAACGGAAAGATTCTTGGCAGTGTGGAGGAGCAGAGGGACCTTGGGGTTCATGTCCACAGTTCCCTGAAAGCTGCCACCCAGATGGATAGAGTTGTTAAGAAGGTGTATGGTTGTTAGCTTTCATTAATAGAGGGATTGAGTTCAAGAGCCGTGAAGTTATGCTCCAGCTATACAAAAGCCTGGTTTGGCCACATCTGGAGTATTGTGTCCAGTTCTGGTTGCCTCATTACAGGAAAGTTGTGGTGGCATTGGAAAAGGTACAGAGGAGATTTACCAGAATGTTGCCTGGAATGGAGGGAAGGTCTTACGAGGAAAGGTTGAGAGAGCTGGGGCTTTTCTCTTTAGAATGACGAAGGATGAGAGGTGACTTGACAGAGGTGTACAAGATGATCAGAGGTATAGATAGAGTAGACAGCCAGAGACTTTTTCCTCGGGTGGAGGTAGCTATTATGAGGGGGCATAGTTTTAAAGTGAGTGGAGGTAGATATAGGGGAGACGTCAGAGTTAGGTTCTTTACTCAGAGTGGTGGGGATGTGGAATGCATTGCCGGAGCGGGTAGTGGTGTCGGAATCATTAGGGGCATTTAAGCAGCTATTAGATAGGCATATGGATGATAGTATAAGGAAGGGGTGGAGGTTAGATAGACCTTAGGATTAGGGTAAAAGTTTGGCACAACATCGTGGGTTGAAGGGCCTGTACTGTGCGGTACTGTTCTATGTTCTATGTCCCTTTGCCTGCAAACAAACTACTCCAATCAACTCCTGCAAGCTCCTGTCTAATTCCATCAAAATTTGCCTTGCCCCAGTTTAGAACATGAACCTGTGGACCAGTTTTGTCCTTCTCCATGGCTGTTTTAAAATTAATAGGACTAAGGTCACCGGTCCCAAAGTGTTCCCCCACTGTCACTGGTCCTGCCCTGTTTCCCAAGAGTAGGTTGGGTTTTGCCCCTTCCCAAGTAGGACCCTCTATATACTGCTTAAGGAAACTTTCCTGAACACATTTAACAAATTCCACCCTATCCAAGCCCTTAACACCATGGCAGTCCCAGTCTATGTTAGGAAAATTAAAATCCCTCACTATGACAACCCTATTACTCCTGCAAGTCTCTCCAGTCTCCCTGCTTATGTTTTCCTCTAATTCTTGTTGACTGTTTGGGGGCCTATAGTACACCCACAATAAGTCATCATGTTCTTCTTATTTCGTAGCTCTACCCAAAGCCTCGCTGGATGATCCCTCAGTTATTTCATCTCTGACTACTGCTGTGATACTCTCCTTAATTAAAATTGAACCCCCTACTCCCCTTTTCCTCCATCTCTGTCCCACCTAAAGCACCTGTACCCCAGTACATTAAGCTGCCAGTCCTGTGCTTCCCTTAGCCATGCTTCATTAATGGCTATAATATGCCAGCCCCACATACCTATCCACACCCTGAGTTCATTGGCCTTACCTGTCAGCCCTCTTGCATTGAAATAGATGCAATTTTATCCAACAGGTATTCCTCACTCACTGTCCTGTTCCAGCCTGATCTGTATCTTCAACTTGCTATTTCCAATTACTGTATTTCCTTTCAGCCTCACACTTACCTTCCTGTTGTTGAGGATCCCACCCCCATTGGTGCAGATGAGTTGGACGGAAGGGCCTACTTCTATGCTGTATAACTCCATGACTCTATGTGGTCCCACTTGCACCTTGTGCAGTTGCAGTGAGACTTCCCTACTCTCATACTCCAATCTTCTTGAAATAAGGGCCAACATTCCGTTAGCCTTCTTGATTACCCACTGCACCTGTGTGCTAGTTTTCCATGTTTCATGCACAAGTTCCCCCAAATTCCTCAGTGTTGCAGTTTTCTGCAGTTTTTCTCCATTTAAATAATATTCTGTTCTTTTGTTCTCCTTTCCGAAATGAACAACTTCCAAATTTCCCACATTATGCTTCATTTGCTAACTTCTTGCCGACTTACTTAATCTATCTGTATCTCTCCGTGATCTGTTTGTATCTGTCTTGCAACTTGCTTTTCCATTTATTTTTGTGTCTGCAAATAGGAACATAGAAACATATGCACATATAAATGTTTGCACATATGAACAAGCTTACATGTGAACATACAAACAGATGAACATAAAATACATGAAAGTACAACATATAAGCAAGCATCCAAACATATGTGTTCAGTGGCATTACCCAGGGATCAGTGCTTATTTTTTGTGATTGATGTAAATGATTGTTTTTATATTTGTATGTTTGCACTTTGTATATTTGTGTGTTTATCTGATTGTATGTTCCTATGTTTGTATGTTTTTATGTTTGCAGTTTTGTATGCTTTACGTGTATATGTTCATATGTATATGTGCTTTGCGGTGTGCGTTTTGTGTTTTTTTTCTTTATTCATTCACGGGATGAGGGCATCGCTGGCTAGGCAGCATTTATTGCCCATCCCTAATTGCCCAGAGGGCAGTTAAGAGTCAACCAAATTGCTATGGACCTGGAGTCACATGTAGGCCAGACTAGGTAAGGATGGCAGTTTCCTTCCCTAAAAGACATTAGTGAACCAGATGGGTTTTTTTTTCCGTCAATCAGGATTCATGGTCATTATTAGATTCTTAATTGTATGCTCATATATTCATATGTTTGTATGTTTAGATATATGTGCATATGTTTATTGAAGTGTTCATATGTTCTTATGTTTGTACATTTGTATGTCCATATATTTGCACGTATGCATGTTCAAATGTTCATACTGCCACCAGCAATACATAAGCTGTGGGTGAAATCATGCTAACATGTAATGGAGGCAGTGCATGATGATTGGGCAAGGACAACCTTTCCTGTTCAAAGATACAATGAATGTAATATGAAAATAGACATGAATTTTGGTTATTTATCAGCACTATCACCCTGGGTTGTGTATTTTTATTGTCAATGTCTCTGTATTTTCTTAGCACTGGATTATCATTTCTAATATCACAACTACTTTACAGGTTTCACCTACAATGACATCGGAGGAACTGACAAATCAGGTGCTAGATCTGAAGAACATATCAACTGGAGAAAAGGAGGTCTGGGTTACCTTTGAAGCCATTGAAAATGGTGAACTGGGTGAGTGTGTGAATTTTATTCAAAGGGTGAATTGGTAAAGGATTTCGTAAAACATGGGCTTCACCTCATAATGATGGGTTCCTGCTGCCTTGATGTACTTTCCTATGTTGGTTTGTGGGGATTATACAAATGCAGTAGGTTTGCTAGATGATTCAACATTTTCCTGATCTTCACAGAACGCCCACTCCACCCAAAGGAAAAGGTCCTGGAGCAAGCTCTCCAATGGTGTAAGTTATCAGAGCCCAGCTCAGCCTATCTGGTTGTCAAAAAGCTCCCTGCAGGAGAAGGAGGAAATCTTTATTCAGGTAAAGATTCATTTATCATGAACATCATCAATATACAGGTCATAATCTGCACAATAGTGAAGAAAGAGCAAATTTAGGGGCTTTACTTGAATAGCAGAACAGGCCCAAGGGGCTGAATGGCCTATTCTATTTGTACATTCCTTTATGATCTTTTTAACAGCAGAATCCAAAATCTCTCCAAATGAGCTACTTGTATCTATATGCATCTTAGTGAGAACAAAGCTGATGGGGTGAATTCAACTTTAGCAGGAGTGCTAAACCAAAATGCAAAAATTAACAAAGTGTATGATAATTAAGCAATCCATTATTATTTCCACTGAAGATGAATATCACTTTGATTGTAGGTAGTATAGGATTTTGTTCCATTCATTTTAAATTTCATTGGTAAGCAAATATCATGCACTAATCATTCCTGTTAAATGTGTTCATGTGCACTTCATTACTGTTTGGAACTCATCTACAAACATAAGAGCAAATAAAATCATAAGCTGAAGAAGAGGTATGCCATTCAACCCGTCCAGCCTGCTCTGACATTTAACAAGATCACAGCTGGTCTAATTGTAGCCAAAACTCCTTATTCTTGCCTATCCAGCTAAGTTTTGGCTCCTTTGTTAGTCTACCTTTGCCTGAAAAATATTCAGTGACTGTTCCTTAAAAGTTTCATGGAAGACATTTCCAAAGATTCATTACTCTCTGAGAAAAAAAAATTTCCTCAATTGCTATTAATTCTGCTCTGATAGATATAACTTTCACATGATTGACAGCATCTGCTACACCCTGAAGAAGACTGAAAATTGAATTTACCGTTTAAATTTATTTGCATGATAAAATAACCCAGAGAGGTAGCAGTTGCATCTGTTTGGAATTTGTACCAATTGTTATTGCCTGCTACATGCATTTCTGAAATCTCTCTAAGAGTTGAAATACCATCAGGAGTCATAGGATTAAGCTTTCAGAGCTGGAGGGCAGGAGAAGCTCATATTTAGTGTGTATAGATGAAACTGTAAATAAAGAATTCTTCCAGAAAGTTCCATGGATCCCAGCAGTATCACTTTTGTAGTCTAGAGTTAGATATGAAACACACAACAAAGAATGGTAACAATGGAAAATCAATATTGAAATCAGCAACTGAAGTAACTCATGCTCAGTAAGAAAGATACATTTTTTCTGAAGACTCATTAGGATTTGGGGGCAATGAGGGACCAGCAGAAATCTGAGAAATAAACTTAGTGAGTAGACCAGAGTTAGCCATGACCTAAAACACATGCACCAGAACAGATACAGTGGCAGGGAGTTGCATATAGTCACTTTTCAATCAACTTGTTTAGAGATGTTATGTTATGACACACCCCTGGAGCAGACGGAACCGGTTCAGGCTCAGAGCCAGGCACACTACCATATCACCACAAGACCCCTCAACTTATACATTGACAGAGTTGGAGGCAGAATTGATTCTCAAGTGCAGCAGGCTTGGAGCAGCAGATATGATAACCCAATGTGTTAGGCTCCAGCCTGAGGAGGAATACACTGCTTCTTTATGCACATGCCTCCTTAGCTGGCCGTGATAAGGTTAAGTTAAAAACAACCCCTTTCCTTGTAGATATCTTTCCCCCAGACTCTTAACATAAACACAATCCTAAATTTTGATTATCTGCTACTCATCATATCCTGTTTGCTTGAGTTTGCCAACAAACCACCTAGAGCTGCTCTATTTTTTTCCTATTCACACCTATCACTACTGCCCATTTTGCATTTTAATAGCTCCTTTACTACCATCAGCACTCCCTTTGTCTTTTTCTCTGGGCACACTCACCCATCTGTTCTATTTGCTGCTCTGTTTATTTCATCATCAGCATAATAACCATCATTTTCCAGCCCTGATCAGTTCTGGAGAAGATTCATTAGACTTGAAATGTTAACTTTGTTTCATTCTCCACTGATGGTGCCAGACTTGTGCAGTTTCTCCAGCACTTTCTGTTTTTATTTCAGATCTCCCACATCCACAGTATTTTACCTTTATCTAACCTTACTTTTGTGTTCAATTACTTTCAAAATAAAGGATGACATTCCTGACAGCATCCAGGCTAAAGCAACCCACTTCATTGACACCCCATCTGACACTTTCCACATCCACTCCATTCAGCACTAAGACACAACATCACCAGTGTGTACCATTTACATGACATAATGCAACAAATCATTAAGGCTCCTCTGACAGCACCTTCCAAATTCACAACCTAGAAATACAAGGACAGCTGAAACATAGGAACACAACCACCTGAAAGTTTCCTTCCAACTCACACACCATCCTGATTTGGACTGAAGTTGCCATTCCTTCACTGTCACTTCCACTTTCTCTCAGTCATTCAGTGACAGGCAATAAATGTTGGCTCAGCCAGCAATGCCCACATCCCATGAATGAATAGCTTTTAAAAACCCACAGTAACAATGTCAATGATTGGGCACAGAAAGCTGGAAGCGAGCAGAAACTCTCGACTCATGTGAAGACAGTGTTTTGCGATGAAATTATAAATAACGCGTTCTTCCAGCAAATTCCATTAATCTAACATCGTCACTTTGTGAGATTAAAAAGAAGTGTGAGAAATACTTGTATCTTTTGGATAATAAGAAAGTGGACATTACTAGGTTGAAAGTGGATTTATCATGTGTGATTTCTTGGAAACAATAAGTTTAAAGCTCAAGGAGAAGGTGGTTTATCCACTATCAATTCAAGTGATTTTAGCAAGCTTTTTAAGAAGAGATGAGCAAGTTTCTGGCTTAACTGATGGAAAACAGGCTTGAAAAAATCTTTCAAGTCTGTGCTAAATATTGCCCAGAAACGGCCTCTAAATTAAAGTTGCTTTTACGGTGCAAACCTTAATGTGGCCGTTATGGAGAGACTTGCAAAGAAAGGCAGTTCTATCTCTCTCACTTTCTCTGTATCAGTAAGATACAAATCCTTAAAGCAAAACCAGCTAAAAACTATTTCCTTTAGGGTGAAATAATTGGAAAAATCCTGATAAAATTTCACATACCAGAAGCCCCTGTTTTGATACTTGCTAAAACAATGTTCTTATTAAAATGAGGTTTTTTTTGAGTTTATTGAAGAAACTTAGTGAAAGTTCACTTTTGTTCAATATAAAGAAAAACAAATTGATCATTTTGGTGATTAAATTAAAATATTTACATTTTGGTCCATCTTGTGGGGCTCGATTTCCAGTGCACTTCTCCAATCAGTTGTTATAGGAATTAGATCCCAAACACACAACAAAGCACTGTCTTTCATAATTTGGTGATTAAATTTAATATCAGAACACAATTATTGTATGAGGAACTCTTTGTCTGTTTTATTCTTTTTTCAATATTTTTAAAGCAATTAAAAGTGAAACTCCAAAGTCCGGGATGTTGAAGTGTCGAGAGGAGCCACCAAAACTTCTGTCTGGAAACAAATTCCAGGAGCGGTATTTTGTTTTGCGAGACCGTAAGCTGCTTCTTTTTAAGGATAAAAAGGTAAGTTATTGAGCCTACTTTTTGACCTACACAAATAATAACACTTCAGTCTTATTATTACACAAAACCTGTGATGGGAGTAATATCAAGCGATGTCAATCATTTTGCTTATTGTGTTTATCTGGAGGAGGAATATCAGGAATCATCTAAATCCTCAACTCAAGGTTCATCTGAAAGCTCTATATATTTACCAGATCTCATTTCGCTGGGCAATTGATTGATGCTGAATCTGCTTAAGACTGGCCCCTAACCAAGTTATTCCTGGCTATAACACTGGCATCTACCTAGCAAAATGGTAAATCACCCAATATGTTCTGTGCACAGAAAGCAGGACAATCCAACTGAGCCAATTCCTGCCTAATTAGTCTACTCTTGACCATCAGCAAAATGATGGAAGGAGTCATTAACAATGCTATTGAATGGTGCTGGCGAAGGAATTATCTATTCACTCATGCTCAGTTCAGATTTCACCAAGCAATTCAGTTCCTTTTTTGAAATTCATTTGTGGGATGTGGGCATCACTGGCTGGCCCAGCATTTATTGCCTGTCCATAGCTGCCCTTGAGAAGGTGCTAGTGAGTTGCCACCTTGAACTGCTGCAGTCAATGTGCTGTCGATAGATCCACAAAGCCCTTAGGGAGGGAATTCTCGGAGTTTGACCGAGTGACTGTGAAGGAATAGTGATATATTTCCAAGTCAGTATGGTGAGTAGCTTGGCGGGGTGCTTGGAGGTGGTGGTGCTCCCATTTATCTGGTGCTTTGTTCATCTAAATGAAAGTGATATGGGTTTGGAAGGTGCTATCTAAGGATCTTTGACAAATTTTTGCAGTGCGTCTTATAGATAATACATAAAATTGCTACTGAGCATTAGTGGTAGATGGAGTGAATGCTTACGGATATGGTACCAGTCAAGCGGCTGCTTTATCCTGGATGGTGTCAAGCTTCTTGAGTGTTGTTGGGGCTGCACTCATCCAGGCAAGTGGGGAGCATTCCATCTCACTCCTGATATGTACGTAGTAGATAATGTATAGGCTTTGGAGAGCTAGGTGTGATTTACTTGCTCAGTATTTCTAGCCTCTGACCTGCTGTTATGGCCACTGTGTTTATGTGGTGAGTCCAGTTGAGTTTCTTGTCAATGACAACTTCCAGGATGTTGATAGTGGGGAATTCAGTGATAGTAACATCATTGAAGGTCAAGGGACAGTGTTTAGATTGTCTCTTATTGGTGATGGTCGTAACCTGGGATTTGTGCAGCACAAATGTTACTTGCCACTTAGAGTCAAAGAGTCATAGAGTAATACAACATGGAAACAGGCCCTTTGGCACAAACTGGTCCATGCTGACCACGGTGCCCACTCAGCTAGTTCCAATTGCCTGCACATTGTCTGTATCCCGCGAAATCCTTTGTATCCATGTACCTGTCCAAATGTTTTTTAAATGTTGCTATTGTACCTGCCTCAACCATTTTCTTTGGTAGCCCGTTCCATATATGCACCACTCTCTGTGTGAAGAAGTTGCCCCTCAGGTCCTTCTTAAATCTTTCCCCGATTAGAACAAAGAACAAAGAAAATTACTGCACAGGAACAGGCCCTTCGGCCCTCCAAGCCTGCGCCGATCCTGATCCTCTATCTAAACCTGTCGCCTATTTTCCAAGGATCTGTAACCCTCTGCTCCTGCCCATTCATGTATCTGTCTAGATACATCTTAAATGACGCTATCGTGCCCGCCCCTACCACCTCCGCTGGCAACGTGTTCCAGGCACCCACCACCCTCTGCGTAAAGAACTTTCCACGCATATTTCTCTTAAACTTTTCCCCTCTCGCCTTGAAATCGTGACCCCTAGTTATTGAGTCCCCCACTCTGGGAAAAAACTTCTTGCTATCCACTCTGTCTATACCTCTCATGATTTTGTAGACTTTAATCAGGTCCCCCCTCAACCTCCGTCTTTCTAATGTAAATAATCCTAATCTACTCAACCTCTCTTCATAGCTAGTGCACTCCATACCAGTCAACCTCCTGGTGAACCTCCTCTGCACCCTCTCCAAAGCATCCACATCCTTTTGGTAATGTGGCAACCAGAACTGTACTCTGTATTCCAAATGTGGTCGAACCAAAGTCCTATACAACTGTAACATGACCTGCCAACTCTTGTACTCAATACCCCGTCCGATGAATGAAAGCATGCCGTATGCCTTCTTGACCACTCTATTGACCTGCGTTGCCACGTTCAAGGTACAATGGATCTGAACACCCAGATCTCTCTGTGCATCAATTTTCCCCAGGGCTTTTCCAATTACTGTATAGTTCGCTCTTGAATTGGATCTTCCAAAACGCATCACCTCGCATTTGCCTGGATTGAACTCCATCTGCCATTTCTCCACCCAACTCTCCAATCTATCTATATTCTGTTGCATTCTCCAACAGTCCCCTTCACTATCTGCTACTCCACCAATCTTAGTGTCATCTGCAAACTTGCTAATCAGACCATCTATACCTTCCTCCAGATCATTTATGTATATCACAAACAACAGTGGTCCCAACATGGATCCCTGTGGAACACCACTGGTCACAGTTCTCCATTTTGAGAAACTCCCTTCCATTACAATTTTCTGTCTCCTGTTGCCCAGCCAGTTCTCTATCCATCTAGCTAGTACACCCTGGACCCCATGCCACTTCACTTTCTCCATCAGCCTACCATGGGGAACCTTATCAAACGCCTTACTGAAGTCCATGTATATGACATCCACAGCCCTTCCCTCATCTATCAACTTTGTCACTTCCTCAAAGAATTCTATCAAGTTGGTAAGACATGACCTTCCCTGCACAAAACCATGCTGCCTATCACTAATGAGCCCATTTTCTTCGAAATGAAAATAGATCCTATCCCTCAGTATCTTCTCCAGCAGCTTCCCCACCACTGACGTCAGGCTCATCGGTCTATAATTACCTGGATTATCCTTGCTACCCTTCTTAAACAAGGGGACAACATTAGCAATTCTCCAGTCCTCCAGGACCTCACCCTTGCTCAAGGATGCTGCAAAGATATCTGTTAAGGCCCCAGCTATTTCCTCTCTCGCTTTCCTCAGTAACCTGGGATAGATCCTATCCGGACCTGGGGACTTGTCCACCCTAATGCCTTTTAGAATACCCAACACTTCCCCCCTCCTTATGCCGACTTGACCTAGAGTAATCAAACATCTATCCTTAACCTCAACATCCGTCATGTCCCTCTCCTCAGTGAATACCAACGCAAAGTACTCATTAAGAATCTCACTCATTTTCTCTGACTCCTCACATAACTTCCCTCCTTTGTCCTTAAGTGGGCCAACCCTTTCTCTAGCTACCCTCTTGCTCCTTATGTATGAATAAAAGGCTTTGGGATTTTGCTTAACTCTGTTTGCTAAAGATATTTCATGACCCCTTTAAGCCCTGTTATTTCCTCGTTTCAGATTGGTCCTACTTTCCCGATATTCTTCCAAAACTTCGTCTGCTTTCGGTCGCCTAGACCTTATGTATGCTTCCTTTTTCCTCTTTGCTAGTCTCACAATTTCACCTGTCATCCATGGTTCCCTAATCTTGCCCTTTCTATCCCTCATTTTCATAAGGACATGTCTGTCCTGCACTGTAATCAACCTCTATTTAAAAGCCACCCACATATCAAATGTGGATTTACCCTCAAACAGCTGCTCCCAATCCACATTCCCCAGCTCCTGCCGAATTTTGCTATAGCTGGCCTTCCCCCAATTTAGCACTCTTCCTTTAGGACTACTCTCGTCTTTGTCCATCAGTATTCTAAAACTTATGGAATTGTGATCACTATTCCCAAAGTAATCCCCTACTGAAACTTCAACCACCTGGCCGGGCTTATTCCCCAACACCAGGTCCAGTATGGCCCCTTCCTGAGTTGGACTATTTACATACTGCTCCAGAAAACCCTCCTGGATGTTCTTTACAAATTCTGCTCCATCTAAACCCCTAACACTAAGTGAATCCCAGTCAATGTTGGGAAAATTAAAATCTCCCATCACCGCCACCCTGTTGCTCCTACATCTTTCCGTAATCTGTCTACATATGTGTGCCTCTATCTCATGCTCACTGTTGAGCAGCCTGTAGTACAACCCCAATATTGTTACCGCACCCTGAACTCTGCCCATATTGCCTCACTGCTCGAGTCCTCCATAGTGCCCTCCTTCAGCACAGCTGTGATATCCTCTTTGACCAGTAATGCAACTCCTCCACCCCTTTTACCTCCCTCTCTATCCCGCCTGAAGCATCTATATCCTGGGATATTTAGTTGCCAACCTTGCCCTTCCGTCAACCAAGTCTCAGTAATAGCAATAACATCATACTCCCAGGTACTAATCCAAGCCCTAAGCTCATCTGCCTTACCTACTACACTTCTTGCATTAAAACAAATGCACCTCAGACCACCTGTCCCTTTGCGTTCATCATCTGCTCTCTGCCTACTCTTCCCCTTAGTCACACTGACTTCATTATCTAGTTCCTTACAGGTTTAAGTTACTACCTCTTTACTGTCCACTAACCTCCTCATTTGGTTCCCATTCCCCTGCCACATTAGTTTAAACCCTCCCCAACAGCGTTACCAAAAGCAGCCCCTAGGACATTGGTTCCAGTCCTGTCCAGGTATAGACCGTCCGATTTGTAATAATCCCACCTCCCCCAGAACCGGTCCCAATGTCCCAAAAATCTGAACCCCTCCCTCCTGCACCATCTCTCAAGCCATTCATTTATCCTGCCTATTCTTTCATTTCTCCTCTGACTAGCACGTGGCACTGGTAGCAATCCTGAGATTACTACCTCTGAGATCCTACTTCTTAACTTGGTTCCTAACTCCCTAAATTCTGCTTGTAGGACCTCATCCTGTTTTTTACCTATATCATTGGTGCCTATATGCACCATGACAGCTGGCTGTTCACCCTCCCCCTTCAGAATGTCCTGCAGTCGATCTGAGACATCCCTGACCTGTGCAGCTGGGAGGCA